GTTAACTTTTCTTTGTCTTTCGAGAAGAGAACATTTATTTCTTTTTTGAATAATTTACGATTCATTATATCTTACAAAAATATATAATGTAAATTTATATGTACGTCTATTATAAAAATAAATCAAATTCTTGTCATAGTTCCATTTTTAAACACCTTTACTGTTACTACATTGTATAACAATATTTTTGCGGTTTCTCTAGATAGCAACTAGCATACGAGCGTATTTTCAAGTTTCTAAACCGTATTATATTTCTACAACGACAGCAGCAAAACATTATCACGTAACGATGGATTATTAATTCAAAATGAACAGCCTTGAATTGGTCAAGTACTTTTGCAATCACATACGTCATCAAATACATTCGCGGAAGCTAAATTTCAGTCTTGTTATACGGCTTTCATACGCGCTGACATACCACCATTGATAGCAGACAGTCATTAACGTCAAGACATGTGATTTTGATCAAAGCGATTCGTTCATGTGACGTTGCCATTGATCTGTGTATATGTGAATGCAAAATTGTATTCATCTTTACCCTAGGATCGATAATTAGTGAAACTGACTGTCAACCGATATTAATTGTTAATATATTTCATTATAATAAAACGAATTGGTCAATGTTTCTTTCTACAGAATTTATAATAAATTTGAACTTTTTTTGTACTAAATTATTATATAAATTATTCATCATATTTTATGGCTATTCCAATTTTATAGATACTGAAAATTATACCGAAATATGTGTACACGTGGATGTATTTCGAACTTAATTAAATGGATATACAAAGTATAGAAGCATTTTCTTGATAATGCTACACTAAAACACTCCCAGGACATAAAGAATTAAATAATATTGATCATTAATCACTTAGAAATAAAGAATATATTACTTATGGCAAAGGAAACAACAGAGTTACCTTCACGTAAATAACATATTTAATATACGAATAAAATGTCCCAATTCCTCTGTAAAATACTAACAAAAGAAGGATATTATTTTTCTGCAATTTATATTAATTTCGATTTACTCAGTAATTCGAATACATATTATTCCCACATAATCTTCCAATTTCGAATATCCTCAAACATTATACCTACTCCTCCAAAAACAATACAATATCTCTAAACGCAATTATCATTAACAAAAGCGTATTTTCTATTTGAAAATTTTATACAACGAAAAAAGATAGCCTAAGTAAATATCGACAAAACGCACTTGGTTTACACTAAGCGTCAATTGAAGGCTCGCGAGGGACGACTATTCGAGCTATTCCGTGTACCGCATAGCGTTTTCGCGCTTTTCGAAATCCTGCTTCTGGAACTTCCGAGCCGTTCTTGTCTATTCGATAAGAGCGGATTCGAAACTGAACGAGCCAACGCGCAGCTACAGAGCGTACCTATAACAACGGTTTCATTGTAATCCCGGCGCAGTTGGTACGTGCTAAGTACGCGCAGTTAAGGGCTCGCGATCGCGACGCACAGCCGCCATCGCGGTGACACGGTTCGCTCGAGGAACGTGGGGGATCTAGATGGGTACATAGGTATTTACACGCGTATTTCCCCCGACCGACTCAAATCATTTTTTTCTCGCGACGGAACGGTTTTCCCATCGAACGGTTTCATCGTCGCTCATCGGAGCACGAGAAGAGCCGGTTGGGTTAGGTATCGTAGTCGACGAGCACGCGCAGGATGGATCACATCCGATACAGACCACTTACACGACGCAACGTGATACCATTTTCGAAACGGTACGCAAACGTTACCAGTACGATGTAGGAGGTTTCACTGGAACGAACAAAGATCCTGGCAGTAACGTAGCTTGAGGTAGCTAGCGGTGCTACGAGGTCCTGGCCCCATGCCAAGATTTTTTTCCGCGGCTTTGTTAAGCCGGGGCCGGCGAGTTATAAATTTTTAATTGAGCTGTTACGTTTCGTCAGGGCTCCCGGTAAATATTTATTAGCTGGTAATTACCGAGAGATAATTATTCGGCCGCTGGTTGGCCGGGTTTCGAGCGGCGCGGCGACGGCGTCGGCGTCGGCGACGGCGACGGCGCGAAAATCACCGGTCACCGGCGCTAATCTAGAAAACTCGATATCGCCGGTTAACGGGAGAACAATTAATTCCACCGGTCGATCGTCATTATCCACCTTAGACGACCGATACACGCGTATCGTGATTTCGATACGGGTCACGCTGGCCAGCGGTGATCTGCCGGCCAGCGCTTGGCACCCTCGCCGCGCACCCGCAAAGAAGTTAGCACTCGTTTTACGGCCGACGAAATTGGAGCAGAGAATTGCGGTAGTTTCGCGGGCGAAAGTATCCGGGCCGGTGTACGTATGAAGTAAAATGGAAATAAAATTTCGACGAAGTCGAAGTGAAGGCAGAAGGTCGCATATCAAGATAAACAAATGTGTGTGTGTCTGTTTGTGTGTATTTGTGCGTGTGCGCGCGCGTGTGTGTCTAGGAAACTCGAGGTTTATTTAGTAACCTTCCGTCCTGCGGCAACATGTCGACGGAAATTCTCGTCACATCGCAAACACGACGTTCATAGAAGTAGCCCGTGAAGTTAATTCGGCAACTTTATGGACACAACGATCGGAGCGTATCCTAAATAACGTTCAAACATACGAGAACAACTCGCACCAAGATAAAACTTGCAGGAATCCCTCTTGCAGACGGTTCCCGCTGTAAACAGAGCGGTTCTTCTGACTAATCAAATTTCGAACTTCCGTTGCCGGATCAATAACGGCGTCGAAATATTATCTAATGCACGGCTCGCTTCGCGCGAATACAATAATTTGATTGATGGGCATAAAGCGGTTTAAAACACCGTGAATCCGAGGAAGGACGGCGAGTAGCGCTCGCTCGTGCTCGCACGCGCCTCCGACGTTTTAATCGGGAACCTAGCTTCAGCGGTGTACAGTGTCGGACAAAAGAAAGTTTAAAATTGGCATTTGCGTGTATAGGCTGGCGGTGGAACAACAACTTGATCGTTATAGTTCGATAATGATCGATTGCTTTGGCATTTTCTGGAATGGTTAATGGAAACGATGGATTCCCTTGGACGTTGCTTTCTTCGTGACGTGTTCACGTGGAAATTGTTTGGAAATTAATGGAAGTAAGAATGTTGTTGAGAGAAAAGGTTGTCGAACGACAATGTTGGTGGATAATTGGTGGACGTTTATTTGTTTGGTAGTAATGTAGAGAGTGATACGAAATTTAGGGATGAGATACAAATAAATGGGGTGAGATTGAATTGTAACTGGAAGGAAGAAATTTCAATGAACCTGATAATTTGTGTGCGGTTATAAGAGAGAAATAGAGAATGGCAAACAATATGTAAGTGGAACATTTAATTATGTGTACGTCTCCTCAGTATCAAATGGTAATTGATGTTTAAATTTTAAATAACGTAACATGTCTCATGGAATTCTTGTATAGGTCACTCTTCATATTTTTTAAAATAATTTTCGGATTATACTGGAAGACGAAAATAAATCGTTTGGCTTGAAGTATACAATGGAAAAAAGTAAGTTCAAAATGTTCAATATACTAATAATAATACTGTGAGATAATAAAGATATGTCACTTATGCTGTTTGGTAGTATTTTTATTAATTATGAAATGTTAGACATTTAATGGTTAGAATGAAACGGATTCACATTGAAAAAGAATTGGAAACAGATGTGTAAATTAAATTATGGGAGATAAAGGAATGTTTAATGAATATAAAAATTACCACTCGGTGAATAATTTAAATATAATTGGCAAATTAAAAAACGGAGAACAATGACAAAAAATGTGATTTTGATAATATAGATGAAAGGATGTCGAAAAAATGTCAGCAAATACAGATTTAAAAATTATATATTGCGAAAAAGTATTATTCTCTATTATAAAAAAATGTTAAATCTCTGTTTGCCATGTCATTCGCAAACAAGCCATTGTTGTTTTGGAAAGGTGATGTATGGCTTGATAAATCAAAATTCGAACAAATAAAATAACGAAAGAAAAAAACAGTTTCGTATAAATCATCTGATCGTTTTAATAAACACAAAATTCAATCAACCCTTAAACACGGTGGCAGCTCGATAATGCTGCGGGGCTCTTTCCCTAGGAAAGGTGTTGGAAATTTGGTTGAAATTTCGCTAGAAAAGTTTATCTTCCAACAGGATAACGATCCCGGGCACACTTCAAAACTTGCATCCTCATTTTTTGTCGAGAAAAAGTTGTAAAAACCGAGCAGCCAGCTTAATCTCCAGACCTCAATCCCATCGAGAATCTCTACGCTATTTAAGATTAACATATTCCTTTAAATTCCTCCATTAACTAGGACTCATCGAAAACTACTATAGAAAAAGTGATATATGTTTTGCCAATAAATGCATTCTAAAAGTGAAACGATGAGACGTCAGAGAATCTACGAGCCTCAATAAACACGAAACAAAAGCACTTAAAATATTCGTTAAAAAATGCAGCAAATCTGCTCAAATGATTATAATTAAATTCACATTGATACACCTACTTTTCCTCATTTCTTTAATCAGATTCTTATTTCTACACCCAAGCTTTCTACCTCCCCATACATTTACGGAAAGCTCTTCACTGCACAACGAATTTGATGCATTTGTCACAAATAAGATTGCACAGAACATGAAATAGAGAAACATTCGTAAGAATATAAGAGTATCATGATTTCATTTTCAAACCATTAAGAAGAATCAAAAGAAGAAATTAGTTTCTACCTAACCCTTGTCTCTATACATTGGTAACTTTCTATTTCGCATAAAGATGCGTTGTCTACCGTCTTCCCTCAAACTACGTCGCTGATTTACAGTCTTTTCGTATCACTCTTCCTTTAAACGTCCCTGCATATACCTGCCACTTCGTATAGTTAAAATATCGACAGGAGCGGCACTGGGTACCGGTAAAATTGATCTCAGACCGTACCCGGAATGATAGCGCAAAGCCATAAATCTGTTTGTGTAAACCGGTACCTGATTTGTTGGCGGGTGTCGCGGTATGGGTGAGCGTGGCCGCTGCGGTCAGCTTAGGCGGTTCTATCTTCTGCGGCACGCTGTGGGCCGGTATGGGGCCCGGGTTCGTCATGGTGGTCATCGTCGTGGGCATCATCAGTGTCGACATAGTCAGCATCTTCGCCGCGTTCCGGTTTCGCCGTGGCGAACTCTCTTTTCCGGCAGGTCCGGTCACGTGACCCGTGAAGGGATCAGTCTTCCGCGGCGGCGGCACCGAAAGCGGGTAGTTCTCGCGACGTTACACACGCCGGCCTTTCGTTCAATCGACGACGGGGGAAAAAACGTCAGACAGGTGAGACGGTCGCGTGATTGAAAACGTGCTGGTTGCACGCGCCCCTGGGATCGATGCTGCGAGAGCGATCGCGGCCTACCGTGGATCAATCGGTGACGCTAAATGTCTCGTGAACATCGCATCACTCGGACAGTTATATATGTACGTGTGTATATTTGTTCAATCGAGTCGTTTGAAGGCGGCTGTCCCTGGATCCAGAATCGAACAGCTACTGCATATCGCGATTCCGCTTTATCGCGACGTCTGCAAGATCGCGGTGAGTCTCTTCCCTCGCGTCATAACCTTACATCGTCGCGCGACTGGGTTCTCGCTGCTTGATGTCCTCGGGCATTTGCCTTCTGCCAGAGATCTCTATTTCTTTCTGTCCCTCCGCGTGTCTGTCTTTCACTCACAAAAGTTTAAACTTTCCCTCGTACCCCGTACGGCGTTGCACTGCTTACCTTCGAACAATCTCTATCGTCACGAGTTCGACCTCGAGTCAACCATCACAATCCCGACGAACGATTCAAACGAAATCTCTCTCCTCAAAACGCTTGTTACTCACTGCGACGCGGTCGTACGCATCGAAACGATCCGCACGTGATCCCTGAGAACCCTCGACGATCCTCCAGTGAACCACAAAACAAAACTGCAACCCTTCTGTGCGCGGTATCTATCCGTGTCACTCACAAAATTCTTTCGTTCCTCGCCACGTCTCGAATTAATTCGACTCGTTCTTCCCGGACACTTGCACTTTCCGTTCGCGACGATGCTGCCTTGTCTTCTCGTCCCGTCCGTTCGAAAATGTCAACACGATCGCAGAGTGGCGTGCGAGCGCACGCGGCCCTTGCGTGCGGCGCGTCTAGACGGAACAACGGCGCAGTTCTACGACGCGGCGAATAAACCAAACGGTAACTCTTCCGTTGCCTTTTTTTTCTCTCGGACGCACTTCTCAATCAGTTTCGCGGCGAGGGAACCTCATCGAGCAACTAAGTTGCTGGTCACGAAGTATAGACGGTTTGTCACTTGACGCAACCCTACGCACACACACAGCTGTTTTCGGCGTGCGGTGCGAGAGAAAAAGGGTTGACTGGTGTGGCAACGGCGACGGCAAACGTTGACGACGACTAGAACGACGACGACGACGTTCTCTACGCTCTCCACGCTGCGCGCGTTACGTCACGTCCGGCCGAGCGTAGAGTCGGAACTCGTCTGGCGGGGAGAGCGCGAAGGGATGCCTGCGTTTGCCTGCCTGCCAGCCTGCCAACCCTGGACGCCCGCCGTCGCGACGCCCAGAGGCGCCGGCGTTCCCGAGCGTCCGCGGAATCGCACGAGTTAAGACGCGAGCCAGTAGTCGCTCGCTCGCCGCCAAGCCGAAAGGGTTGCTCGATGCGCTTGGGCGGCCTATGCATTTCTATGCACGAACCTTCGAACTATTTCGAGATCACTTCTGCTTGTATCTTTTTTATTCTTTACACTGATTATTTTTAGTTTTACCGTTCTTTCCTCGATTTTTCATTATTGAAATCTGTGGATGATTCTTTTTCTTCTGCTTTTTCTGCTTTTTCTTCTGGTTCTATGGGCTTCGTCAAGCTTCGATGTGGAATTGTGGTTCATTTTAATGTTCCTGGGCGGTATATGGACTTTTATGCATGAATTTTTTAACTATTTCGAGAGCATTTTTGCCTGTAATTTTTTACTTTATTAGATTGATTACTTTTAGCTTCAATCCTTTATTGGTTATTGTAATTTGTGTGATAAAAGTCTTTTTTCGTCTTCTTTTTCTGCTTCTTCTTCTGCTTTTATGGATTTCGTTGAGTTTAAGCGTGTAATTGTGGTTTATATTAATGTTACTGGGGGGATTATGGATTTTTATGCATATACATTTAAACTTTTGAAATTAATTTTTCTTAACTTGTTTTCTCAATCACTGCACTGATTATTTTTAGTTTTACTCTTTTTTTGGTATTTTGGTTATTGAAAGCTGTGCGATGAAAGTTCTTTCTTTTTCTTTCTGCTTTTATAGATATGATCGAGTTTCATAATTGTGGTTCATTTTTATGTTAGGTGATAGTTTGCAGTCTCTAATTTTATTAGTTTTGTTTGGAAGATTTGTATATATATTTTTGGTTGAATTAGAATTTACGAAAGTATGACTCATGAATTAGTTTGCTTATTACTGAAATTTTAATAATTTCTGTGATTATTATAGTTAATTTAGTACCAAATTTAAGTCTATATCTAAACCTTTTGTATGTAGACTTTGCCTGCAGCATTTACATCGAAGAGGTGGGAAGACATTTGTCAATGTGAGATTTAACTTTTTAAAATATTAATGTTCTTATATTATAGTTAATCAAATAATTACTAGGTCACTAATTTAATCAGTGGCATCTATGATACTAAATATACCACTTTTATATATTTAAATATATATTTAAGGGAGGATAATATAACTTTAATACGTGAAACGAAGAAATATGTTAAGCACTTTAAAACACGAGAATATTTCCTTAAAATATTTGTAAGATCATATAAGTTTCAAAATTAATTAATGTAATTTCAGAAAGGAAAACAAATTACTGAAAATATATAAAAGATTTATCTATTAAACGTGGCACTACGTTATACTTCAAATAATTCTGTATACATTAGACATCAATAAGGTAAACTATATGAGGTAATTAAAGACAGATTAGTAATTACGCCATTGTATACAATGGTACAATATATTAATTTAAGCAGTTAATAAATTATTATATTATAAATAGATAAATATGCAAGACCTATTATTATTATTAATATTAGTATTACTAATAGTACCGAAAAATATTATTGGTGTCATTTTCATTCAATTTAAAGTTTGAAAAATATAAAATAATGAACTACCATATTTATTTGTATTATATTGTTTGTACTATTATTCAATTAGTAAATGTTTTCACAGTGAACCTCAAATTACCGTTGACATATTGATTCATTGCTAATTGATATGCTATTTAATTGATTCAGAACAATTCACGTTAATGTATAAATACTTTACGTACATTTATATTTTATTTCAATTTATTTAAATTTGCAAAGAAATTTCGTACCTGAATAAAAGTAAAAAATTAAAAATACTCAACTATATATTAATATCAGGCAAATGACGGTTCCGATGAAGAAAATTACCACAAACCAGTTTAAAATATTTCATATAAATAATTTTACCTCGACATAACTGAATACGAAACATTTTTTATAAATTTCTCTCTCTTAGAATACAGATTTCTTGATAAATTGTAACGCAAAATGAACTCTAAAAATATGATTGAAAAATGAGAATAAATTGTTACTTACTTTGGACAAATTTCACTGAATGAATTCAAATTATATACAAATTATTATGATAAATAGTATAATACAAGATAAACAAATATTAAAATTAATAATAACTGTAACATAAGTGCTAGTAATATTAACAATGATAATGAGGGTAATGATAATACGATACTGACAGGGATTAACTAATAAATGAATGGACTATAGATTGCAAGTAATTTAATAATTAGGACACTTTAAGCATTCTGGTACCCTTTCCTTTCGATAGAGACTGATTGCGATATTCGGGTAATGGGATATGATTACTGCGTTTAGACAACCCCTTCATCATTTAAGCTTGTCTCGGTAGTTGCAGTTTTGCCTAATTGATTTAAGAACGACAACTGGCGTACATAGATGTATCACCATTTGGAACTGTTGTGGATTTATTGTTCGTCCCATAAATTCTTGCACTTGTTCGTGCAGCTTCCTCCCAAAAAATTTATTTTATATATATATATTTTATATAAATATACAGATGTGGATGTAGACTTATCAAACACTCATTGAACAGAATTGAATACTCGACAATATATTAAATTGTTCATAAAGTGTGCAACGTAACTTATACGAAACAGCAATGCATTTCTACACATACAAAAAAAAGTAATTGATTCGATTTATGGATCGTTATTCATTGAAATATGATCATTTTGTTTTAACAAATATTTAAAGTACAAGAGTCTGAAATAACAGAAAAGACTGGATTATGTAGTACTATATTGGTTAATACTTTTTCGTATATTTTTGTACGTTGAAAACGAACACGAAAATGAAGTGTGTAATTATTACAAACCTAATTACATTTAAGACACATATTACAACAAACCAAAGGAAATACAGTAATTAAGAACACGCAAAGGTAGACTTATCACTGATATCAAATTTCACGTAATATGCTATATTAAATAAGAATTTAATTACAAATATTAAATTTTTCTATTTCAAAGAATTCTTCTAAGATAGCACAGAGTTTTCAGCAAATACTTAACGTTAGATATTCCTCATTTTCATCGTTATACACTTAATCGTATAAAATACAATATTTCGAAAGTTCCCCTTCATCGGTGACTAACCGAAAGCATTTCATCAGAAAACATATTTTGGCTACTTGATTCGTTCGGCTGAATGTGACAACGCTAAGGAATGTCTTAAAATGCAAAAGAACCCGATTGCCGGGATACAGGCCAGAGGAATGCATCCGTCAATTTTCACTCGCCGCGATTCCGCGAGTCGCCGTTGAAACGCGTCGTCCGTCTGCACTTCCTCGTATAATTCAATGTGCCGGTGAAACGTCGAGCGACAAAACCCGCTTGCCAATTTTTACCCCCTGCGACTCCGCATGCCATCTCCACGGGAAGGCTCGGTCGTCTGAATTTCTTCATATAATTCGGTATACTGCTGAAACGCATGACGGATGCTCGCACAATGGTAGCCGACTCGTCTGAACCGGACCTTAATCCATTGTTCCAGAAAATAAATTAGAAGAATTCGTATCTGCATACAGATCTATGGTCCGTCCATTCTCTACTTTGCTTATTTCACAATTCCAGAAAGTTTATACCGTAAAGACAACATATTGGTTTTTATCAGTTCTAGAGATATTATCACTTAAGAATAAACTGCAACCACGTTTTTCTTATATTTGAAATGGTGTTCACATTAAAAAGTTACCCCCTTACTTTTCTTAGGATTAACTTGTTAAGCACAATGATTTATTATGGACGTTTCTCTTTTAGATGTTTAGTATTCCTAGTCGGTTAACAACGATATCAATGTTGAATGTAAATATTCTGTATGTGCTATACTTTTAAAATATTCTACACGACGAAAGTATGTTTAAAGTTAATCGTTTGAGGAGCACAGTTATTTATTGTCTATGACAGAGATCTTCGTTGTTTAAATAGTAATAATTCTTCGACGTTAATTTTGAAACTATGAATGGAACTTGTAAATGATATTTATGAATAATATACAAGCTTATAAACTAAAATTGACTTGGATGCACATGCTAAAACATGAAAGAAATGTTATCGTAGTATATGTACGAATGAACAATTTTATGGTACGATTTTCCATGAAAGTCTACTTTTGTCATTCTATTAATTGTAAAACAATTTAGTCAAACGATTTTGACTAATTCAGTGGTAGTGTAAGGATTACAATGATTTTTCTTATAATGACCACTTCATTTTTCAGATATTTATTCTATATACAACATTGCATAAAAATGTAATGTTGTTCAGTGAAAAGTGAGTGTGTTTAAATATCGATCGATACGTTTCTATACGAAACTTTTAGCCTACCAAGTGAGTTTCTACTTCGAAGGGATCTTGTTCGCTTACTGCTATCTGCTGTGCAAACGGTTCGCATTATGTCCTGGAAATATTCACTTCACTTGGAATACTCTACAGATATTTGAACTTTCGGCGATTGGCAGCGCTATTTTCATGTCTGATGGTTATCGACTACTGCTTCAGAGTGGTTATAAATGCGTCACAACCGAAAAAATATGTGCTTACGGCAGTTTATATACTTGTCGAATGAAGTACCAAAATTTCCGTGAAGATATACTAGTGCAAAAGTAGTTCAGCCATAAAATTTACAAGTTTTATAAGCTACTGAAAAGAATTGTAACAGTGCAGATTATTGTGTTGCTTCTTATATATTCAATGTAGTCTGTAGTAAACATTACAAATTTTATTTTTCAACGGAACATACTATTTCGTTTTCAAAATAGTTATGTTTGAATATTAATTAATCATAATTTATAATTGCGTTTGACTCACGATGGTTTTAAATTTATAATTGGCAGTAGAATTAAAAAACAGTGATTTAATCAGAAACTAATTTAAAATGATAAATAAC